GAAACCTATTTTAGCATATATATGCCTTTTTTTGTATATTCAAAACTATATTTAAAATTATAAAATATAAAAAATCAAATTATTTTATAAAATATAAAAAATTATAAAATATAAAAAATTTAATTATTTTTCATTCTTTTTATTAAAATTATATATTTTTTTAATTATAAAATGGCACATGTCCAAAAATGCATGATATTGCCATGGCATTACTATATGTATCTATATCATAAAGTGCTAAAGTTAATTATCAAAGCCACAAAGGCACCTCGAGCACTTGACTGGTTAAGAGTAATCAGCATTAAACGCTAAAGGAAAGCAGCCTTTAAGCGATGAATGACCTGCAGCGCTTGACTCGGGTGCTGTGACCGCGGTATTGTTAGGATGGCCAGCAGTATTCTCATGAGTGATACTCAAGGTAACACAGGCCAGCATTTGCGTATGAAAGCGCAATTCATTGCATGTAATTTATTCAGCAATCTGCTATTTTATGCATCGATTTAAAAGGGTTATTAGGTTAAAAATAGCTCCACAGCGGCCAAGGAGGTTTCGTCCTGGTGTGTCCAGGAAGATTGAAGGAGTCTCGGGGTTAGTTCACCCACCATTCCCGCGTGTCCTGGATCATTAGTGGACCAGCGGATGTCCAGGTTGTCCCTTGCTCCTCTACATCTGTCCTAATTAACTTCTAATGCCACGAGCCAATCAGTCAAGACACTGTCATCTGTCTCATTGGCGTAATGATATCAGTAATGCTCAAAATCCACATTTCTGCTCAGTCAGAGTCTGACGCCACTCACTGTTACTTCCACACAGACCGGCACTTTGAAGGTTGCAACCAAAGATGTCTTCAATTTGGTGACTTTATGTTAGCCGCTCTTAACCACAAGGGTTTTGAGGTTTATTAGGTTGTGAGAACATGGAGCTGAGGTTGTAGCTCCGGTAATAAAAAGAAAGTGAGCACTGTAGTTCCAGGTACAGGAAAATAATATCAACAGCTCAACCACAGACTTACATTAAAGCACTTTATGGTAGAAAACATGTTCAAGTGGTGTTTCACAACCATTTTGTCCTATAAACCCCCAGCAGCCCTATCACTGAAACTCAAGTACACTCTACATCCCCACCAAACCATAAATGTGTTGCTTTAGACACATACATATACTTGGCATTATCATTATTAATATTTTATAATTTTTATTTAAATAAATTATAAAAAATAATTAATTTTATATTATGATTATTTAATATAAATCAATGCAATTAATGTATTATTATTTTGAAAATATTTACTTATTTAAATAGTATCTTCCTCTTTCTCTATTAATTATAAAACTATTGATTTATTTATTTATTTTTCAGGTAGTTGCCAAGACAACATTTCTCAATTTAATTTAGTTGATGTACTAAAATAACTAAAACTAAAGAGAAGAGAAAATATAAATATAAAAACAAATTCTAACTAATATTAACACTTTACAAAATGATTCCATTTGTTAACACTGGTTAACTACATTAGTTAACATTAACTAGCAATGGGAAAACATATCAAAATCATGTATTAATCTTACCAAATTTCAACATTTACTAATACATTATTACAATCAAAAGTTGTATATGATAATATTATGGAAAATATAAATATAAAAACAAATTCTAACTAATATTAACACTTTACAAAATGATTCCATTTGTTAACACTGGTTAACTACATTAGTTAACATTAACTAGCAATGGGAAAACATCAAAATCATGTATTAATCTTACCAAATTTCAACATTTACTAATACATTATTACAATCAAAAGTTGTATATGATAATATTATTTAATGGACCTGGGCTAACATGCATTAAAGAGCAGTTGTATTTTTATTAATTAACATTAATAAATACCGTAATGTGCTCATTGTTAGTTCATTTGAGTTAATTGGTAACCAATGTCAACTAATGGAACTTTATTGTAAAGTATTAGCAAAAACTATAACAGCATCTCAATGATACTAAAATAACACAAACACATTTCATTTTACACAATTCAATAATAAGCTATGACTGACAGCTAACACAGACTAACAGGTTTAAGAAAGACAAATCGAGATTGTCCCAATGGAACCTGCTTGAGTACACGTGGTGCACATACGACTGGTTGGGAATCACTGGAAACCTGCTTTAAAGGTCTTCCTTCTCGATTTGCCTTTTCTGCCTACAGCCCACTTCTGTTTTGCCTCTCATGTCTGGCCATAATGCCTTCCTCTGATTTCATATGAGAAGAACCTGTTGTCCATTAAAGGTTGTTTTTAGATGTCTCTGGTGGTCTAAAACGAATGCCGCTTCCAGTCATGGCAGCCTCAACTTCTGTACTGTAATGAAGTCAAATCAACTTATCATTTAAAAATACATTAATCTAAAGGCCTCGTCACACGATAAGCAAGCATCTTGCACCAATGTGACCTCCACGACAAACAGAAGATGTAAGGAGTTTTTCAGCAACATGATTAATATGCAACTCCTATTTTAACAATTCCTGTCCACATTTTTTTTTTTCAAACATCTCTCGTTTAATAGAAATGAAAAGGGTTGCGAACAGCGCTTCATGTTGACTTTAATATAGAAAAGCTTTGACTATTTTGACAGAATGAATTTTCGGCATCTCCCAGCATGACTACTGCTCCGCTGTGCTGCAACTAGAACTCTCTGCTCCGGACGCTTGACATTGATGGATTAATTACAGTCTGACATTGAGGCTCTTTATTTCAAACAGAACTTCAGCAATCTCTCCTCACACACATGCATGCATGCATGCATACATACACACCTCTGTTTCTTTTCCCATTCCAGCTGCCCTCGGCATAATTCATGCTTTCTTCCATCATAGTCCCTCAAGAACAGACAGCGCACTTTGCTTTCCAAAAAAAAGTTGCTGCCAAAACGTCCATTTAACACCATGGCACTTCATTTCAATGAGAAAAAAGACAGCAACACCCTCTCTGATTTGATGGTAATTACTTAAAATGACTTCCTTAACGAGCACAATGCACACAGTCGTTTAGTTAGATTGATTACTAACAGTTAACAGCAGATAGGAGAGTCATGAAGTCAAAGGGGGGGCATTTTTCCAAGCGCAGATTAAAGTTGTTGCTGGACTCATTTCCATCTCGCACTGTTCATTTGTCATTCTAAGAATACTGCAGCTCTCTTCCAAAACCCAGTGAGTCGTCTTGCTGTCTACTGCCTACATAGGGAGCATCTTCATGATAATGGAATCTCATCTCCTCAATATTGATTCTAATAGAGTTTGACATTAGCATGTTGCTAAGCTAACCCTGTTGAAAAAAACAGCATATGCTGGTTAGGTGTGTTTTGAAGCTGGGATGCTGGTTTAAGTTGGTCCTTTGCTGGTTTAAGCTGGTCATTAGCTGGTGTGCTGGTCTTAAGCTGGTCGGACCAGTTTAGGACCAGCACATGACTAGCATAATCCAGCAAAGGACCATCTTAAACCAGCTCAAACCAGCATCCCAGCTTCAAAACATACCTAACCAGCATATGCTGTTTTTTTCAACAGGGAAAAACAAATAAATATTGAACACAAATCACTATTTTTAATTATATCAGCACTTTAAACAATATTTTCTGTATTATTCATTATATAACGAAACAATGGTTGTCCACATTTCTCTCAATTGATTGGAATACAGTTTGACATTAGCATGTTGCTAAGCTAAAAACAATTAAATATCGGTTAAATTTGACTATTTTTAATTAGAATAATACTTAAAACAATGTTTCTGTACTATTCCGTATATAATGAAACAACAGTAGTCTGTTTCTCAACTGATTGTAATAGTTTAAAATTAGCATGTTGCTAAGCTAATAGTTGTCCAAAATTGTCATTTTTTAATTAGAATAAAACATGTTTTTCTCTATACTATTTAGAGTCTAATAAAACAACTGTAGTCTACATGTTTCTCAATTGGTTAGAATGGAGTTTGACATTAGCATGTTGCTAAGCTAACAAAAATAGCCTAAATACTGGTTTAAATTGTCCATTTATAAATAGTCAGAAACTTAAAACAATGGTTTCTATACTATTACATATCTACTGAAATACTACTGTAGTCTTCAGTACATTTCTCTCAACTGATTCTAATAGTTTGACGTTAGTATGTTGCTAAGCTAAAGGCAAATAAATATAGGGCAAAACAGAAATTATTATATATATTTTTTTTTAATTAGACAGAAATGTGAAGTTAATGCGAAACTCAATTCTAACCAACTAAGAAACATTATACATTTGTTTTATTATTTTCTACACTGTAACTAATGAAATAGTATAAACTGTACTCTACATTTTTCTCGACTGAGTTTGCCGTTAGCAAACTGCTAAGCTAAAGGGCACAAATACAAACTAAGTGCACTTTTAAATAGACTGACACTTTAAACAATGTTTTTCTAGTGTCTAATGAAATAAAATATACATTGCTCTCAATTGATTCTAATAGACATGTTAGAATAGACTAATTCTAATATACTAATTAGAATAGACATTCTAATTAACATGTTGCGAATGCTAATGACGCTAATACATACCTGATAAAATAGTGCTTTATACTCAGAAAATAAATAAATAGATAGATAGATAGATAGATAGATAAACAAATATATATAATATATATATATATATATATATATATTATAGTCAACATTTTTTACATCTTGATTTTTTCCTCTCACTATACTCCCAGTGCATCCTGGGATTGCTTCCTGCATGAAGGATACACACAAAGCTGCTTTAGATTTTAAACAAAGTGAAGCAAATATGGCGGCAACATAATGCAGCTGCTGGCGGCTTACTAGGTTTTGAAACAGAGCTCCAGATGTTTATCTGAAAAAGTGTTTAAAATCGTTCAAAGACACCATTAGAAGTCCACCAAAACATCAGCATGCGCAGACACTCAGAGATCCGGTGTGTTCGTGAGGTTAGTGTCCCTGACCGGTGGCCTTACCTTCGGTCCTCTCTGTGCGGGGAGTGAGGTTAAACTCGTCGGCTACTGTTAGGGAGGCATAAACAATTGTGATAGGTTAATTCAAGATGTTCCACCATTCCCAGACCCATGCAACTCATTCCATTACAGATGTTACTTGACATTTCCAAAGGCCAAACCAAGAGGCATGCAAATCACTCTGTGAAAGTGAGACAAGACGTGAGACAGAGACAGACGGTCAAAGTGGGAAAACCCATGAGATGGTGAGAGAGAACTTAATGAATTCTCATGCGATAACATTCAAAAGCATTGGGCAGATATATGTGTTAGGTGATTTTAGCTCTATCAACCAGGTGTAACCAGTTGCTTTTTTTTGTCCCTCTCAGTCTTATCACACATAGGGTAGAAACCATGAAGGCTGATTTTTGTATTTATTTTTTCTCTGTCATTTTCTCCATGTTGGCTCTCAAATCTGTCTTTAGACTGTTACTGGAGATTGTGCTCTTCTAAAAGCCTGAGAGGAGCAAAAATATTTACTCAACCTGAAGGCAGAAATGTCATTTGAAGAAAACGGTTCATCAGAACAAAACACAGGGGATTTGGTGGAATTGAAATGTGCTTCTAATGAGTCGAGAGGAGAGGGCTTGGATTGCTGCTCGTTTGAAATGACGGCCACATCTGTCCTCTCTAAATGCATTTCATTTCATTATTGTGTAAAACTGGGGAAGAAATAAGCTAATTTCTCAGACTACTGCATAAGTTTATCCAATTTTGTTAAAGGCAGCTCCTTTATTTATTTATTTATGTTTAAATTTTGGTGTCATTAAGATATTTTGTTGATTTTTGAAAGAAATCTTGTATGCAAAAATACAGTAAAAACAGTAATATAATGGTATATTTTTACAATTTCAAACAGCTGTTTTCTCTGTGAGTATCTGTTAAACTGTAATGTATATCTGTGATGTGCAGCTGTATTTTCAGCATCATTCCTCCAGTCTTCAGTGTCACATGATCTTCAGAAATCAGTATAATATGCTGATCTGCTGCTCAAGAAACATTTCTGATTATTATCAATGTTGAAAACAGTCGTGCTGCACAATATTTCTGTGGAAACCATGATGCGTTATTTTTTTACTTTTTTTTTCTTTTGATGATTCTTTGATGAATATACAATTGAAAAGAACAGCATCTATTTGAAATAGAAATATTTTGATTTAATTTAAGTAACATTACCTTGCAAAATAATAGTATTAGAAAAAGTACTGAGCCCAAACGTTTACATATATATATATATTTCACATAAAAGTTACACAAAAAACTTAATATTTATATAAACAATTCTGATTATTATGTATAACTATTTATTATTAGTATTATTATTATTATTAGTAGTAGTAGTAGTATTTTAAAAGATCTAACAGGTGTCCTAACATAGTAACCATCACATTAATTATTAGTAGTACATTAATAGAACATCAGTACATTAATAGTTATGTTACGTTACGTTATTAAGTATGGTCATGCTCCATTAAGTGTCAGTAAGTAAGTGCTGTTTAATAACACTGAACTACATTCAGTTTGTGGCATCTTTAACCCTTTGAGTGTCCAAAAACTTGTTGGGGCTACTGTATATTTGTGGTACAGTACTGTATGCGTTTATGTGTGTAACATCAGAACACCAAAACTGATGTGTGTAATACACTTCAACTCACATATCCAGAGTCTAACTAAAGCTTGATGCTGCACTGAAACGGGTCTCATCTGCTGCCAAACGATGTTCCTTTTCCCTCTTTTTCTCATTTTTTTAAAGTGCTATATCACCTTCCACTCACTTCACGTTTGCTAGTGAAGTGTAAAGAGCGAGACGTGTCTCGAGAGTCTAGTCTGGTCCTGACTGAGCGGGGCATTGGTCCGGTCTCAGGAGACTGTGGTCTTGATGTTGGCCGAGGATAAAGAGGATGAAAGCGATGTTTTATCTCCTCCGATTAGCCACGCGGCCATGCGGCAGAAGCTCTGCGTCTCCTGAGACATGCCAGTACGCTCTCAACAACCCTGACCTGTCCTTGAGTCCCTCTAACCCCCCTCAGAGGTGAGCTGAAGGCCTTCTCTGAGAGATAAATATGCTAGTTAGGAGAGAAAGGGACGCAAAAAGTCAGTTTTTGACTTCATGACATCATTTGTAATGTTTAACAACTCTCTGTGCTCTTTTAAGTTTGGTGTAGCCATTGCTGTGCCTGATATTATTAGCTTTAACGTTAAGCGCTGTGCTAGCGTACGCACCCCGGCCCATATACCGCGCTGCTGGATTGCAAAGGAACAGGAAGCAGCGAGGCAAGGGACAGGAAGTGGTTTGGGGAGTGCTAGTGTTGAGCGTGAGGTTACCTAGGTCCATACTCTTCGACTTGCGACTCGTGACGATCTCCAGTTGAGCGGCATCGCTGTACTGTTTGGTCCGCTTTTCTGACATGCTCTGCCGGCCGAAGCCTTCCCTCTGAAACACGTCATCCATATCTGCGTCTGGACAGAGTGTGCTGAAAGACAGGAGAAACATGACTTTCCTTTTTATTATTTATTATACAATTAGACTGAAATAACTGTATTATCAATACAAAAATAATCAACGAACATAATAATAATAATAATAATAATAATAATAATAAATATCGCCTGTCATTGTTTTTTATTTATTTTAGTTTTTAATGAAAATATTAGCATGAAAAACCTGCAAGATGATAACAATAATAATAATATTTTATATTAATATTTATTATATAATTTGATTGATAATACTAATATATTGATATAGCAAATGACTGATATAAAATTAATCAAGGAATAATAATAATAATAATAATAATAATAATAATAATAATAATAATAATAATAATAATAATAATAATAATAATAATAATAATAATAATAATAATAATAATAATAATAATAATAATAATAATAATAATAATAATAATAATAATAATAATAATAATAATAATAACATGTTATATTATTTATTATATGGTTTAATAATGATGGTAACACTTTACAATAAGGTTCATTAGTTAACATTAGTTATTATTATAGTTATTATTATTATTATAAATTAGTCCTATATTTTTAAGTCCTAGAAATTGAATAAAATAATCTGTACTGCAAATACCCAGAGTCATTGTTTTATTGTTAATTCTATAACATATTCTAATAACACTGGATTATTAAAGATGTGGATGCAGCATCACACAACACAAAAGGTTTAGCTACTGATGCCGCTGTAGAAATACCCAGCCATATTTTTACTCGTGATTAATTTATTCTTAAAGTGCTTAAATGTTTATATTTAAAAATGTATGTGTTCATGCATAAAACTTTAAGAAAAAAAGAATAACAATGCATTAATGTGAAAATCAGTGTTTGCGTCTCTTTACAATATTTTAAACAGAGTTCTAAAAGTTTAAAAGGCACTCGAGACTCGAGTTTCTCACTCATATTCCCTCATCAGAAACAAGGCGTCGCAACTTTCCCTGGGACTGAAATGTGTCCAAATCTGTTCTTGTGAGCCTCCTACTTACATCACGCTCACAGAAAACCTTTCCTTTAGTCCCCACTTTCCTCTTTAGTGTTTGAAGTCACGAATCCTTTTACTCCGAGTGAGTTTCATGCTGTTCATAACGCACTGCAGGACGATAGGAGCTCTGATGCAAATCACAAAAACACGTCTGAACTTTGAGAAGAGCATGGGAGCAAAACAAGCAAAACAAGCTTTAGAGGAGCCAAACGACTGAGGGAGAAGTTCAGAGAATGGAGAGTGGATATCAGCGCAGTAACTGCTCTGGCCTCAATACTAAAGACTGCTGTGGTGTGAAGCGTTTGGTCCACATGTAGATGTGTAGGAAGTGTTGTATTAGCGAGGGCAGACGGGTGTGTTGTTGGTATTGATCGAGGTGTTATGATGCTTGATTAGATGCATGCCGTCTAGCAGATATCGACTGGAGACAGAGAGCTCACCCTATGCTGAAGATAAGGTCAATATATTCTCTTTAGACTCTCAATTCCTTCCAAACTCCCTTGTAATTATTTTAGTTCTCTCTCTTCTAGCATATTAAACACTACAAGTCCTTGACTGACTCACACACACACACTGGACTAAAGGCCTGATATATTTCAAGTTAAACTGAAGAACGAACTGGTGTGAAGTGGTTTCAAACAAGAGCAGACCAAAACTGAGTTCATTTGGAGTTTGAAACATTTTCTGGAAAAGTTCACTCCGGCTGGCAAACACCCTCAAACTCTCATTGGTCTCTGGTGATTATGTAATAAGTGGGTGTGGCTCAGTAGCTCCGCCTTTTCTGATGTGGAAATCTTCTATGGTTCATTTATTCTGTTCAGTCCGTCGAGGTCAGGTGTCCGTGAGTTACAACATGAACACACTGATGAACTGATTTATAGTAGAAACTAAAGTTGTCATTTTAATCGAAAGTGACACTGACAATGTTGTTTCTTTTTTTCTTTTCATGTTTAATACTGTAAAGCTGCTTGCTTTAAAGCAGTCCATTGCATAAAATGCTATAATTAAATGCGATGTGACTTGACTGGAGTACCGAACCGCAAACATAGTGCAAACATCCACATCGCTATGATCAGATGCTTTCTTAACTGCTGTTTTCTCATCGCTGTCATGTTTGTATTTATTTTGTTATTGAGAGGACAGCACACAGCACATATTTACATATTCTTCTAAAAGCCAATCTCAGCAGTGATATAAATAGTTCAGCCAAAAATGTTGTCCATTTGACTTTTGTTATTGTGTGGAACACAAAGTAATGTGCTTACAACAAATGGGATGAAAAGGATGGAAACGTTAAAAAATTGTCATAATTGTAATCAAATTGCACTTTGTACTTAATATTACGACTCTTCATTTGATAACTTTGTGTGAGAAATTGAGTTTTCTATAATATTTTTTAGTTTATTTTTCTATTACTTTATTTAATTTTATCTACCATTATGTTAAATAAGTTGACGACACTTTCATTATAATAAAAGCCTGGATAAAAAAAACAAGTACCATAATGGTATATAAAATTAAATAAAATACACTTTTTGCATTACATTAATGAGAATTTGGAGAAGTGTGCTCAATCATCATGAAGATAATGTTACGATTTTTTTTTTAAATCTTAAGCTTTATTTTCTTTATTGTCTTTTTGAAAGAAACATAAGAAACATCTTTTTGGAACAACATAAGGCTTGGTAAATGATGACACTTGATGGAGACTCACTGATAGGGAGAAAAGCGGATCTATATGCATATGTGCATGTGTGTGTGTCGTAGGGAGAGATGTTCATCAGAGATGAATCTGAACCCCAGTATGGTGGAAACTCCAGAGGGTGGAGTGTGAAGCACATCTGGGAGGTGTTCAGCACGCACACAATGGGCTTGAGGAAGCTGCAATATGTTGAACATGTGCACAGCTCTGTGTCTTAATATTCATATCCAACAGGGATCCATTAGCATTTGGGGAGAGGAGAACGTGTAATTAAAACAGTCAGCAACATATCAAAACACATGAGATATGACTTCATACGCCTTTATGAGATACTGTATGCATGCCGTACACTGTAAGGTTCGGTTGTGTGCAAACACAAACTACTAATGCATACAAATCAAGTTCTAAAGTTAAATCTCAAAAATCTCTCTGTCAGCTATGATGCAGACCTGAGCGCTGAACACGAGCTGACCATCCAGACACTCCATCAATTAGGCCATTAGAGACACGTCCAATTAACTCTGGCCAGACTGGATCTCTGCTAATAACAAATGACTGCCTTTAAACACACATCACCAAAACCAGAACCGCTGGAAGCTACAGAACAGAGGTCTGAAATTAAAAGATGTGTCTGATTTGTCAGAATTAGGCAGCACTAATGGCGCTTTTTTTTTTTTCTTTCCACTGCATGGTACGGCACGGTACGGCTCGGTATGGTTCACTTTTGGGGGGTTTTCCACTGGGTACAGTATCTGGTACTTTTTTTAGTACCACCTCGGTTGAGGTTCCAAGTGAACCGTACCGTTACCAAAAACCTCCATTTGGGGACGTCCTAATTTATAAAACTGGCGTAAAAATGAAGTAAACAAAGTTTTTTGAAATTGTAAAAATGCAGAAAGTTTTCTGTGAGGGGTAGGGTTAGGGGTAGGGTGGGCTTAGGTTAAAAAGTGTATAACTATCTGTATATAAAAACAATAGAAGTCTATGTAATGTCCCCATTTAGATAGCTAAGTAAGTGTGTGTGTGTGTGTGTATGTATGTGTGTGTGTGTGTGTGTGTGTGTGTGTGTGTGTGTGTGCCTGGTATTTATCACATTATGGGGACCAAATGTCCCCACAAGGATAGTAATACTATTAAATTTTGACCTTGTGGGGACATTTTTGAGGTCCCCATGAGGAAACAAGCTTATAAATCATACAGAATTAGTTTTTTTGAGAAAGTAAAAATGCACAAAAATTACTGTGAGGGGTAGGTTTAGGGGTAGGGTTGGTGTAGGGCAATAGCACACACAGTTTGTACAGTATAAAAACCATTACACCTATGGAATGTCCCCATAAAACATGGACACAACGGGTGTGTGTGTGTGTGTGTGCGCGCCTATTAGGAGTAGGGTTTGGTTTAGTGTTAGTGCTGTTAAATATGCATAATTTACTGTCACTGTTACTATAGTAAATACATGTAACAAGAACACAAGGGTTTTCCTATTTTTATATTCTATTAGGAGTAGGGTTTGGTTTAGTGTTAGCGCTGTTAAATATGCATAATTTACTGTCACTGTTACTATAGTAAATACATGTAACAAGAACACAAGGGTTTTCCTATTTTTATATTATTTTATTTAAGTTCAGTGGTGAAATACTGTAAAATTCAGGCATGTTCTTGACAATACTCATGATATTCACCACCAAAATCATCCCATGATAAAATGACTGTAACGGACGGCCTCCTATGACTTATCGCTCTACCCGCATTCATGAACGCATCTCAAGCAAACATTAGACTTTATTTAATGATCGTTATTACACTGGCTACAAACATGCATGCACACTGGAATGGCTGATTCTGCTCTAACTAGGTCACTTTATTAATGTTTGTGGTTTGGCCCTGCTAAAGAGCCATTTGTCTTGAGAGGAGTCTTAATGTGTTAATGAGAGATACGCTTCTGTGCATGAACCCAGAAAACTGCTGCGAGACGCCATCCTTCACGACACAGAGAGAGAGAGAGAGAGAGAGAGAGAAAGAGAGAAAGAAAGAAAGAAAGAAAGAAAGAAAGAAATTGTGTTTGGAACAGCATACACTCTTAAAAATACAGGTTCCCGAAAGGGTTTTTTTTTTTTTTTTTTAAGACCCATGTTTTTCTTCATTTTTTTTTTTTCTTTCTTTCTTTCTTTGGATGGCGTCTCGCAACAGTTTTATGTTGAACACTAACGGAACAGCATACACTCTTAAAAATACAGGTTCCCGAAAGGGTTTTTTTTTTCAACATAGAAGACCCATGTTTTTCTTCATTTTTTTTTTTTCTTTCTTTCTTTCTTTGGATGGCGTCTCGCAACAGTTTTATGTTGAACACTAACTGTGATTGTGAAACTAAAAACTCTCTATATCAAAAATGTCTCTATATTTTCTTCAACAAAAAAAGAGGAGAAAAAATATAGACCTCTGTGAGTTTTCATGCTTGAAAGAAATTGTGTTTGGAACAGCATACACTCTTAAAAATACAGGTTCCCGAAAGGGTTTTTTTTTTCAACATAGAAGACCCATGTTTTTCTTCATTTTTTTTCTTTCTTTCTTTCTTTGGATGGCGTCTCGCAACAGTTTTATGTTGAACACTAACTGTGATTGTGAAACTAAAAACTCTCTATATCAAAAATGTCTCTATATTTTCTTCAACAAAAAAGAGGAGAAAAAATATAGACCTCTGTGAGTTTTCATGCTTGCGGTTGCCAGATGTCAAGAGTTTAAATCCCCCAATTAAAGCTGCGCTTTATATTTATGATAATATAATAAATCAGGAAACTAGATGAGGTCAAATTAACCATATGTATGCTTATAGGTGAAAGTGCAATAATTCTGATGGAATTTATGAAATCAAAAAAATCATGATTTTTCATGAATCATGAATCAAAGCATCTGACTTTACTTTCTGTTTGCAATGTGACAAATGAACCATAAGCAATATCAATTGTAATTTTTATTTTATCTGTGTGATGTTCCAGTGGTAGCGCCCTCCAGTGGACGTGTAACTATCTCAACATCGGGATGCATACATGTGTACCGTATGAATGTATTGCTGAGGTGATTAATCAGTGAGAGATATGCATGTGTGTCTCCTGTTAAATTAATTTTGTCATACATCTGCATGAGTGTGTAACACAGAGAGAAGAGAGTGTGGCGTGCTTATAAGGCCTCTTAGACATAAATAATTCAGACTAACCCGAGGCAGTGCAGTGTGTGTGTGTGTGTGTGTGTGTGTCTGTGTGTGTGTGTGTGTGTGTGTGTGTGTGTGACAGCACCGCTATGGCCTCAGTCCACGACGACAAACATATGACATCACAAACAAGATACATACAGTAAGTAAAAACAAAACAGACACTGGACCCGAAAGGCTTTGTGGAAAAGTCTGCAGAGAGAAAATTGTCTCATGGGACTGAGAGAGAGAGATTGAAAGTGGACAGAAATTAATTGCTCAAGTCACTTGCTTTAGGAGCCTCTTTTAGCCCAAGGAGCGAGAACTGGACCCAAAACACTCTCTCTCACACACACACACACACACACACACACACTCACTAAGGCAACAGACTACTGTATTCAGGGCTGAAAGTACCAAACAGCTAAATGGTTCCCATAGTGGCCAATAAAACATTCACACACAGGTAGAGTCTGCAGCGTCTGAATGAATGATGAATAATGTGAGCAGGTGGAAAGAAGACTCTAGCCGAAGACTAAAAAGAGGTCCAGTGTATCAGATACGGTCTGTGCGCTTTAGCAGAAAGTCTGAAAGTCTTACTGTTTGAAATTTAGGGTACTTTTCACCATGATATAACCATTTTCATCATAGCTCAAATCTATACTAAATAGTCTGTAACGTGGTAGAGGAAATCCTTTTTATTACAGCTATGGTGGTTAAAGCGGTAGCTGAGTTAAATATGTCGAGATCATTTTTGGTGAAAAGTACCCTAAATTTCAAACAGTAAGAATTTCAGACTTTCTGCTAAAGCGCACAGATCGTATGCATTATTACACACACATATTCAAGACAGGAGCAGCGTCACGATATCTCACACTGCTTCTGAGCCCAAACATTCAACTGAAGCCCAAACACTGATCGTCCTCCCTGCTGTCACCATCACCGCACTCGGTTATTTAGCAGCTCTCACATTTCAGCGCTGTGCAGAAACATAATGGGCTGCGATTTGGCCTTTATGACGGACGAGACATCACAAAACAATAGCTGAGGTCAACCAATGTGCTCCTCAATCACTGAATGCCAACTACAACATTTTAATAATGCATAAAAAATGACTCGCTGTTTGTGCTTGAAGGAAACATTTTATGGTTCGGAATGAGGTTTTGATTTTGTTGTTTGGATGGTTTGATGTTTTAGGTGAGGTGAGAAGGCCGTTTGAACCCGGGACTGTGGTGATTAAAGACCGGTACTTCTTTATCAGTGGAAATATCACTGAGTGCACCTTGAAATTGATCAAATATGCAGTGTACTTAATTCAACCCATTAATGTCCTGATGATTCTGCGGTAGGTGATAGCATTACCTTGCGTCCTGTATCTGGACATCTTTGGGCCAGGATCCTGGCATTTCTGTCACAAATCCCATGTCATCGTGGGAGCTGGATGATGATTGGTGAGACAAGCGGGCAGGAAGAACAGGTGGCCTATCATCTTCAATGATGACGGTGTCGTCCTGGGGCATATTCACAGTGGGGGACAGCTGGTAGTGTCCTGAGACAGAGAGACGACAGAGAGAGTATGTCAACATTATGCTGGGAAAAAGTGGAAGTGCTGATCTTTGAGATCTGCTTCACTGATCTGGAGGATATACTGGCTTTGAATGGCCACAAAAAGTGACTCAAATGCCTCTAAAAATGTAGGAAGTAAGGTGTACACTCAGATATGACCAAACTGTCCCATATAAACATTTATGCACCGCAAAAGCAACAATTACATTTGTGTCTGAAACCAAAAAAAAAAAGGCACTTACTGTAAGTCAACAATCCCTAAAAAAAACACACACACAAAGTAGACGGAGCGTAAACGAAGATGTTTGAGCAGAACGAAAAGCACATGTTCACAATTAAAATCAGGCATTTCCATCCAAACATGAACTTCTGGAGTTCCGCCGTGTTTCGTTCCAAGTGTATTTATTTCAACTCTAAGTCATTTTGCAACTTTAGCAGCTTAAGAGCAATCACATTTAATTATTCCTAGATGAAAAAATAACACTTTTACAATTTTACCTTCGAAAAAAAAAAGTGTGTGGATGTGAAAAACAGTGCTTTTCATTTACGAGAGGTTAAACTCTAAAAAAATAAATAAAATAAAATGACTGAATAATTGTGATTAAAAAAATAAAATAAAATATAAACAACAATAAAATAACAATAAAATAAAATGTAAAATACAAATGTAATTGTTGTCAACCATCACATTTTAAATAAAATAAAATAAATTTTTAAAAATAAAATACAAATATAAATAAAATAAAAAAATCAATAAAATAAAAATGAATTAATAAATATGATGAATTAAAAAAAAATAAAACACAAATAAATATAAATAAAAAATACAATTGTTGTGCAATAAAATAAAATAAAATCAATATATTTTTGCATTTTTCTGCATCTTCCTGCAAGTTCACCAGTGAAGTTTAATTTTTAAAAAATTTCCAAGAAATAATACTACTTTGGAGAAACTCTAATAAAATTGAAAATATTTTTTTTTTCTTTATCATGATATCGGGACAGTTTTATCAACCTGACATTTTTGACTTTTTAATAAATAAATAAAAAAAACGCTGGTCATAGAAGAGTCAAAGAGTCACTGAGTTTATAAATGTCATTTTCTTCAAATGAATTTGCAAATGTGACCCTATAGCATATTAGATAAAGAAAAAAAAATATATAAATTGCCAAAGACCAAGATTAAATTCACATGAAAAAATAAATATAACCAAAACAGAAAGGATCCATACACTTGCAGTCTGTCCATGCAAGGTCATTTTTTGCTCATGCAGGACATGGTTTTAATTGGTTAACTGCTGAATACAGTCATGTTCTTGCATTAAATGAGGCCTTTCCTACAGATTTTTTGACACAAGTGCTGACCTCCTCATACAAGAAGAGTTACTCTTGGCTATGCTAAACGGCGTAAAGGACACCTATAGAAATAGCCACTGTGACACTGTGAAAAGGTTAAAGTTTTTAACATGGAAGATAAAAACGCTGCGACCACAATTCTGCTGCGGACGACTAATTGGTCTACCATTTTATTGAGCTTATATCCCCTGTCCACCCACTTACACTCATGATTTCATGATGAATCATAAAAAATCTGCCTAAAAACGGACCTCTTAATTGCAGGACAAGAAAAATAGTGAAGGCGTACTTGGCTTATAATACATTCGGCTCTGTGAAGAGAACAGGAAATCGGCAGTAGAGGAGAAAATCATTTCAATTGTCTGATTTCTAATGGTTTGTGAAGGCAGTACGCAGTAAGCAGTACTAAAAAAGCCCTGCTGGATGTTCTTGAGAGAGCTTTGTTCTGGAGGGAAGGTGTTAGTGACTGACAAATCCTGAAAAAAATCTTCTCAGCACCTTGTCTTGATCCATTATCCAACGTGTGGATGAGAGTCGATGGGTTAAAAGTAAGACTAATCGTCTTAGTGCTAGTGTGCAAAAAGAACTGCATTACCTCAAGAAACACAATATTCCTCTAGAATCATTTACGGCGATATGCATCCGACAATAAACTTCATAATGCAACCTAAACAGGATGCAGTTTGACTTGGATGGTCGAAGCAAAACCAAAAGACTGTTGCTTTACCCAAAAGAGCTGTCCTTACCAAACACATCATGCTTTTGTTTAATCCTGAAGATTTCTAAACCTCCGCGTCATGCTTGCATCCCGAGGACATTTGATTCAGGTCATTTGAGGATAAGCATCAAGGCTATCATGTGCAGTCTTTCCCAGACCGAAGAAGCCGTTTGTGTTTGTAACTGCCTCTTCTGTTTAATCTGCACTGAATTCTGCTTGCAGGGTGCTGATGGCAATGGTGGTGGGCTACTGTTGTTTTCTGTCAGGCTGCGATCAAACGACCCCTCGTGGGGTCTCCCTTGCTATAATAAATAGACCCCCATGCTTGTTTGCTGGGCCCTGAATCAAAACATTGTGGGAATGGACTGATTGGTGGACAGAGCCGCACTGCCCCCCCCCCCATCCAAAAAAAACGTTTAAATGAAAGGCCAACATGTGGTATTAATCACAACCTGCCATGTATTTAGGAACAAAGTCATCAACAATCAGTTGAAACTTTTCCCAGAAGCAGGGGAGTGAGTGAAAGCCAAGTGTTTGTCATGAATGTGCATCCATAGTGGCTTGCTATGGTCGGGGGAAACCCAGAGGGTCATCATTGAAGTGAGGGACTTTGATGGAGTATGCTTTTTAGAATATACACATTTGACATTGTATTGCATCATGTGTGTTGGCAACATTAGCAGAGTCACATTTGGTTTGAGTTAGGTAACTTGAGAATGGTCTTATACTGTAAACACAGGAAATCATGAAAGAATTAATTGAAACAACAAAGTTCTACATGTACTCCCTGACAAAGTAATAATAATGTAAAATAAAAAAAATAAAAAATGTTTACTGGTGTAAGCTGGTTTTAGGTATGTTTAGTTTAGCTGGTCTCCCAGCCTGCCCATAACCCCTCTAAAACCAGCAAAAAAGACCAATCCTCAGACACTTAACCGCTTAGACAATTAGTCTTAACCATAAGTTGCTTTGGTTGACAACATTCAACACTGAGTAACGTCAAGGTCATGGGTTCGATTCCCAGGGAAAATAATAACTTATAAAATGTATTCCTTGAATACGGTGTAGGTCACTTCAGATAAAAGCATCTGCCAAGACAAACCATTAAATACTGCTAAAAACTAAACTGCTCCAAAAATAGTGTTCTTGGCCAGAGTGCATTCTTACATTTAGCACACTTGATGTGGGCTTGAGGTCTTGTGTTCTGTGCTGCACGTGCCTGTGAAGCTCACGAGAACGGAGAGTGTCCTATTTGTCAATTTACAATTCAGAAGCGTGCTCATAAGCGCCACATATCCATGATTGTGATTAATATTCTTCTTTTTTTTTAATACCTACGGACCACTGAAAGTCAATCAGAAAACGCCTGACTGCAGAATTTCCGTACAGGTCAGGGAATTCAATTTATTGTGTACATTGTTTATCATGTTATTGTTTTATAACTAACTGAAGTGTGTTAATGTGTTAATTGACAGGTCTATTTTGTACACATGCATTGTTTGTGTGTGTGTGTGTGTGTGTGTGTGTGTGTGTGTGTAACAAACCATTAAATACTGCTAAAAACTAAACTGCTCCAAAAATAGTGTTCTTGGCCAGAGTGCAATCGTACATTTAGCACACTTGATGTGGGCTTGAGGTCTTGTGTTCTGTGCTACACGTGCCTGTGAAGCTCACGAGAACGGAGAGTGTCCTATTTGTCAATTTACAATTCAGAAGCGTGCTCATAAGCGCCACATATCCATGATTGTGATTAATATTCTTCTTTTTTTTTAATACCTACGGACCACTGTTTCCGTACAGGTCAGGGAATTCAATTTATTGTGTACATTGTTTATCATGTTATTGTTTTATAACTAACTGAAGTGTGTTAATGTGTTAATTGACAGGTCTATTATGTACACATGCATTGTTTGTGTGTGTGTGTGTGTGTGTGTGTGTAATGCTCTAGAGGCCGTGTCCCTGAGCAGTCTATGGCACAGTAATATCACAGGTCGTCCACTTCATGTTGTGCGAGTGATTCGGTCTCTGTAAGTTTGTTATCTCCCATCAACCCTCCTCCTGTTAGCATAACAGCACTCATTATCCTGTAGTCTTCATCAGCAGGTTAATACAGCGGCTGTGCTAACCTGACAGGCGCAGACAAACCACTTAAGGGACGCCGAGGGAGGCTGAGGAGGCGCTGTTAGCGTGATGCAATTCCCAGCATACCTCTGTCATTCTAGTTCTGGTACAGTGCCATTCACAAGAGAGCAGCGATCCATAGAGAAACGCACCTTGAGGAAAAAAAGGTCAAAGCATCGGGATGCACGCAGGGAAGTGATGAAAGTGTGAAATACTAAAAGCTCAACTTCTCATCTGAGGTATCTATGTCTCATTATAGATTATATATCTGCCCTTCCTATAGATTGAGCTCTAAATCGGCTTTGGCAAGGAAATCGAAATTTGTGTTTGTCAAACACAGACCATTCAAAAGTTTTGTTGTCATTTTTAAAAATTATTATCAAAGAAATCAATACTTTTATTCAGCAAGGACACATTAAATTGCTCAAAAGTGACAGTAAAGACATTTATAATGTTACAAAAGATTCAATTTCAAATAAATGCCATTCTTTTGAACTTTCCACTCATCAAAGTATCACAGTTTTCACAAAAGAAAAATGTGAAGCAAGCAATTTATAGATTGTTTTCATATATAGAATTTTTAGCCATACATACTGTATACATAGTGTTAAAACATTCATGACACTAAACTAACAAAATGAAAACGTTAGAAAGAAAATGACCATTGCTATTTTTGTTTGAATATGCTGCTGCAACAGACTTGCTTTTTACGCAGTTTGCTGCAAGAATTCTGTGAAAAACATCATAATTATAAAAACACATTTTTACATATTTTCTAAAATGCTTGT